AGAAAACCTGTCGAATGCAATTAGCTGTCTGCGTGTTCTTTCAATTTAATTAATTGTGTGTTTAGCGCAAGATTTTTTTAGTGTCTCTAGGGTAGCCAAACTTTATGGCGTATCAGGCTATCAGCCTTGCCTCCCATTTTGTTTCACCAAACGTTACTCTTCTTTTAAACTAGGCCTGGACTCGGGCCGGTTCGGGGCCGGTTCGGGTCTGGGCCCAGCCGGGCCTCAGTTCATGAAAGGGGAGGCCCGGAACTGGCCCGGGTAACCCCTGGGTCCGGGTCGGGTCTCGGTTCAATTTATAATTTTTTTTGGCTTTTCCTAATTAACCTCCAACCCTCCCCCCTCACCCCCAAACCACCCCAAACCACCTCATATGGCCCAAAATACCCAGTCCAACCCAAAAACTTAAAAAAAAATAAAAAAAAAAAAGGAAAAAAAATAAATTGGCCCGGACCGGGCCCGAACCGGCCGGGCCGGTTCACCTTTTGAGGGGCCCGAGCCCGGACCGGAACCCCAGCGGGTCGGGCCTACCCGGACCGGTCCCTGGCCGGGCCGGCGGTTCAGGCCGGTTCAAACAGTAACCGGTTCGGGCCGATTCCGGGGCGGGCCGCCCGGCCCGAGTCCAGGCCTATTTTAAACCATCATATTCGGTTTGGTTTTTGCAAAAGGGAAATTTATTTATTAATGATAAGAGTAGTTAGGGAAGGACCCCTCATGATCAAACAAATTCACTGATCTCACGGCTATGTAATCTGTTCTAACAGTATTGTAACTATTGTTGAACTTGCTACTCAAATGGTAATTGAAATAAAACAAATAGTCCGAAAAAGAAGGAAATAAATTAACTCAAACATCTCGGTTTTTAAGCCATCGAAAAGAGAATAAATGTTTTGACTAGCCACCTCCAAGGAAACTCTCCTAGTCTCATGCCCTGTCAAAATTACAAGCAGTGCTGCCTTCTTTGCCATTTTTGGACTATCGCCGTCCACTCCATGAATGCCCGAATGACCGAATCAACACCCTTTTATAGAGACTCACGACTCTTCTCTTCCCGGGTCCCCCCTCTTCCAGCAGCATAATAGCATATTCAACTTGTTAATAGTGAAAAAACTATCGAAACTGTTTTTGATAAGTGATTGATATTAGCCCGCAAATGACCCATTGAAACCTAATGTAAAAATACTTCATCACCGAATGCAAAAATAGCTATTGAAATCTAATGTGAAAATATTTCGTCACCAAATGCGAAAATAGATGAATTTGTAAATGCCCCTCTTCGGGTGATTAGATAACTTTGTCACAAATGCATAAACTTTGATTTTGTGTGTTAAATTGCTTTATAACCAAAATAAATAAACCTTAAATTAATTTTCTAGATGAAATGATTGAAGTTATTGAAGAGACCTATTTCAGCTATTCTTTCATACATAGTATAATTCACCCACTTAGCTAATTTTAGTTGTATGAAATAGACTCGTAATCATTTTAATAAAATATTTGAGTAATTTTGGTAGATTTAATTAATTGGGGTTTTTACGAGAATATTACTAAAATAAAACTTATTTACATAAATATGATTATTCATTACTACAACGTAGTGCTGTGGTAACTAAAGTTCAAAACTTGAACATGAATTACAATGATTTTATTACTACTCTAGTAATGAATCATATTTTTATAAATCATCTTTATTTTGGTCATATTTATGTAATTATTTCATAAACTTTTCACATAATTTAAGATACAATATATGTCTAAACACAACTTAGAAAAATAGGAAGTTTTTAGTATGATAATAGTATTATATACTTTATTAAAGGTAATGTAGTCTGTTATTGTTTTTATTGTCGATTTCTTCCTAAAATGAAAAAGTTAGAATTATTTTGATATAGCCTCAAACTGGTAAAGTGATACATGAAGTGATGACTAAGAGCTTGTTTTGTAAAGTGATATAGCCTCATTACTACGTTGTAGTAATGAATAGTCATATTTATGTAAATAAGTTTTATTTTAGTAATATTCTCGTAAAAACCCCAAAGTTTATTATAACAATTAAAATGATAAAAAATGAAATATTTGTTGTTTCACCATATAAATTTAAAATTTCGTGGTGAAGAATTTTCTCCTTATAAACAATAGATTAATCGGTTTAAGAGTTGGTGAGATTTTATAATGACATGTACACATTTGGTTGAAAAGCAAGCAACCAAATTGTGCATTTTGCTGAAACATCCGCATTTTCTCCCCACTGCGTGGTCTCACCACATTAGTATTATTATTTTATTCATACTTGTTTACAATCTTACATTGCCAATAGTCTTCCAAATTCTGAAGTGATTTTTAAATATTTTGTTTTTTGGAACTGATTCTGCTTCTTCTTTTTTAACGCACCAGCTTTTTTAGAAGTTGGGGGCACCAGCTTATGAAAACTCATTCTAGGAGTAAATTAGAGCACCAAAATCACTTCTACACTTTCACCCAAACACTCCAACTTTTGCTTCTGCTCTCTGAAGCAGCAGAAGCAGTTTTAAGAATCAGATTCATACACCCCTTAATCCTGTAATACATTTTGTTTTAGATTCATCTAGGGGTGGTTTGGTACGGTATACCTTATATTTTTTCTCATACCTTTGCCATACAAAAACTTTCGGTATGCAAAATTTGCATACTTTTACCTTACCGAAGTTTCGGTTCGGTAACGGTACGGTATCGGTAAATTACCGTGCATGTCTCCCAATACAAAAAATTATCATTGACCAACGAAATATACTAAATCATTATTACTAGCGACATATTAAATCTATTATTAAAATGTTACGAAATACAATTAATAATCTATTGATGTCAATTCAATATTGAAGAATAACTATTATTAGTATATTTAAGGAGTTCAACATGCCACATATTAAAAAGTTACACATTCTCCTAAAATAACTTAAACAATATAGATATAATTAAATCATTAGATATAACTCCCCTCATGGCCGGCTCTGGATATATCAATATCCATTTTAAACACTAAATTCCCACAATAACAAGATTTGTATCTCTAACGAGGTTTTGCACGAACTGTTGGAAACGTGTTAATAAATTGCATTAAATGATCATTTTAGGGCAATATTTTAAGTGCTACAATTCGATGTGTGATACGCTCAAAACGGATAATGGGTGAATGAGAAATTGATTCTCGAAGTTCACTCGTTGAAATGGAGAAACTAGGAAAATGATGGATTTCTAGTGTGATTTATCTCACACCAGAAAACTCAAGGGATTTTCAACCCCGTATAAAGGGAATCCTCTTTGAAGGAGTTAAGATTCCTAAGTGGAAAGGCTCTCTTTGCGTGCCGGGGGGTGCGAATCAAATCCCAAAAACGGAGAAGAAAAACCGCAACTTGCGTGCGCGGGCGACCTGCGGACACGGGACACGGATGTCGTCCGAAAATCTATCTTCTGAAGATAAGATTTAATTTTTGCTTCTTCCTGTAATGTTCCTTTTTGCTCCAGGTGCAGCCCCGTTGGGAGGAGACTGCTGCTCCATGTTAAACGACTCACAACAGGCAGCTGCTGAGACGTTACAACAATAAATGCCAACATTCTGCAGCTTTAAGAGGACAGTTTACGGACGATTCAATGCCCAACGGAATAGTCATAGATGTCCAACGTTCAGGTCTTTTAATACTCCATTAACACACCACAAATCCTTCCTGTAAGTAGCTGACAAGTGCTTTGCAACATTACATGCAATCATACACAAATTGCACGTTTTTTAAGCTCAAAAACAGCTCTAGCATTCTGAAAATATTCCTTTGTTTTCTTGCTTGTTCACGTTCGCTAGAACAATTCGTTTGAGTGCTCAACGATTGTTCGTAGCCATCGTATCCTGAGAAACGATCGTTGCAACGCTCCTAGCACATAGGGAGACAACAAATACATTTTAAGGACATCGCGCGTAACACGAGCTTTGGCCAATTTCTGCTCCATCTCTTTTCTGTTTTTCTTTAGTCATTTTAATTAACTTTATTTGATTATTTTTCTTTATTTTCCGAGAACACCCAACACGAACAACATGTTATAGGTGATATGCATATATATATCTTAATATAATCATTCAATATGTACAAGCCATTTTCTTTTGTCTGTGCACAAACGATAGTTTTTCATTTTTGTAAAGACAACTATTTGTGACTCCAAAAAATTTAATGTCTATAACATAGACAATCAACTTTTTTGGGGCACACGCATTTTTTGTTACTAAAATTAAAATAAATTGTTTGTACACAGACATAAAACAATTGATGTGTAAGTCCATGTATACACGTAGCATTTTTCATTTTAATATTTATAGAAACATGATTTTTTTAGATTATTTCAAAAATAACTCAAAATTATCTAAATCAAATTATTTATAATTTAAAATTATCATCATATTTTTGTTTAGAAAGTTACATTGGTATTTTCTCAAGCATTTTACAATTTTAGACACTCATGCAGTCATACAATACACCATTTTTTAGAGTTTATTGCATCAAGCTACTTCACTATATATAATTTTTTAGAGTTTATTGTATCAAATCCGCTTGAGTTATAATTATTCATGAGCAAAAAAATCTCCAAGAATAATTTTAACAATTTAAAAATTACTTGTCTTGATATTATAATTGAATATGCAAGTAAATTTATCAATATCTCTAAATTATGCAAAAAGTCATAATCATTTGTTTTTTATTTTATAATTAAATTTGTTAATTGATATGCTTTTACACCTGAAAAATTATAACACAGAAGTGTGTGATGTATTTTTAAAAATAAAAATAAGAATTTTGCTTCGTGTACACAACGATTACACATTGGCGCACACTCAAATGTAATTGTCTGTATAATTTAGTTTTTGGAGTGACAAACACTCCGCTTTACTAAAACTTGAACGTAATTGTCTTTGCACTAGCAAATAGCAATTAAATTTGTGTGTGTAAGTCGATGTGTAACCCGGTGTCTATCCTAAATAAAACTCTAAAAATAAAAATCTAACAAGGAAATGACAGATGTAGCCCGCGGTTGGTGTTTACCAAACACAAGGAGATCTGAAAATTGGGGGAGGAAGAGAGAGAGATAAGGTTTGGTGAATTTCGGGGGTCTGTCGGTAGTATATGACTGCCAGTACCTAATTTAACTGCTATCATTTCATTCCATCTTCTTCGCACCTCCCTTTCTCGCGTTCTCATTGGAATACCCAAAGCTTTGAATCTGCTGCATTGGAGTTGATCAGAGTATTCAGAGACAGAGCGTAGCTATGAAGGTGATAGAGAAGATCCGGGAGCTGTCTAAGCAGGAGAGCAATGGCGATAAGGTCGTTTTCTCCTTCGAGTTCTTCCCCCCTAAAACGGAGGACGGTGTTGAGAACTTGTTCGAGCGGATGGACCGCATGGTGGCTCATAACCCTACCTTCTGCGATATCACCTGGGGCGCCGGTGGCTCCACCGCCGATCTCACTCTCGAGATCGCCAATCGGATGCAGAATATGGTCTGCGTTGAGACAATGATGCATCTCACCTGCACCAACATGCCCGTTGAGAAGATCGATCACGCTCTGGACACCATCAAGTCCAACGGCATCCAAAACGTCCTCGCCCTACGCGGTGACCCTCCTCACGGCCAGGACAAGTTCGTCCAGGTCGAGGGTGGCTTCTCCTGCGCCTTGGACCTCGTGAGTGCTAGTTTTTCTCTTTCATTTCCTTTCGTTTTGCTATATTTTAGTTCTGGCCGATCTGATCTCGAATTGTGTGTTTCTGCTTGGTTTCGCTGATCTGTATCTGTTTGATTTTTTTCCCTTTTGTTTTACAGGTGAAGCACATCCGAGAAAAATATGGGGACTTCTTCGGGATCACAGTTGCAGGTTATCCAGGTATATCTGCAACTCCATTACACAAACAATTCTGACTGAGAAGTACTATTATCCTTTTACCTGTACTTAGATTTTGTGCTTGTGCAATAGAGGCACATCCTGATGTCATACCTGCTAGTGGAGAGGCTACGCTTGAGGCTTACCAGAATGACCTTGCTTATCTCAAGAGAAAGGTCGCATGTTCTTTTGTGATAGCTTGTGTGTTGATGTAGTATTCACATAGTCACGTGAAAATTTTGAATCTTTTTTTTTTCAGTACTAATGATTATTTTTTTCTTCAGGTTGATGCTGGGGCAGATCTCATAATTACTCAACTCTTCTATGACACTGACAATTTCCTCAAGTTTGTGAATGACTGTCGTCAAATCGGAATTACATGTCCCATTGTTCCTGGTATTATGCCCATCAACAATTACAAGGGCTTCATCCGTATGACTGGTTTCTGCAAAACTAAAGTATGCTATTGCCTTCTTTCCCAATTCACTGTTATTTTACAAAACGTCATGCAAGAAATAGGTATCAGATTTAATGCTGTTTCTTTTCCAAGGGCTTTTGCAAGTTGCAAGTTTGAGTCTTGGTCATCTTCTCTGGCATAGTTGTATCACAAACCTTCCAAATTAAAGGCCATAGAATTTCCCCTTGTAATGAATTTACAAAAAAACTAGGATCATTGCGTGAATATTTCAGTTTCCTTTTTTCTATCTCTCTGCCGCTGCGTGAGTCCTCCAAGACCAAAGCTACTGGATCATCTCAAGATATACCTTGGAGTGGCCCCAATGAATTGCTCAATATACAAGATTCATATTCTATAGTTCTGAGTTCCAAGTCTTTTGACTGGGCTCATACAATATCGATGACAGATAGACAGCAGTGTAGGAAACTTAAATTCATTAATGTTTTATGTCATAGAGTTTTGAAATAGCAACTGCTGATGACCTTTTCTGGTGTGATGATATAAGTACTTTTTAAAATGCGCTTTTTTTAATTATGTATTGTAGATTCCTCCTGAGATTATGGCTGCTCTAGAACCAATTAAGGACAATGAAGAAGCTGTAAAAGCTTATGGAATTCACCTAGGAGCTGAGATGTGCAAGAAGATCATGGCTAGTGGGATTAAGACATTGCATCTTTATACGTTGAATATGGAGAAATCTGCATTAGCAATACTGACGGTCAGTTTCTGTATCTTTATCATTAGACCATGAACCAAGTGCTTGATGTATCTTGAAAAAAAAATGAAATGTTTCCTTTAGCAAAAGTGAATAATGAGCTGGTGTTAGACTTCTCCTACTGCAGACTCTTGGCTTAATAGAAGAGTCCAAGATTTCAAGATCATTACCTTGGAGGCGTCCCACAAATGTTTTTCGTACAAAGGAAGATGTCCGGCCCATATTTTGGTATGCCTGCGATATCCTCTCTAATTTTTTAAGCTAAATGTGTACAAATCTGACTTGCCCCTTCTCAATAGGTTTGGATTTCCATATGTACTGGGTTCAAGCTCATTACTTCTCTGTATAAAGTATAAACATTTGAGTAGTCTTTAGAGCTTATGAAGTTATGAACTTGTGTTTTACATCAAAAAAAGTAGTTGTAAGATTCTACATGGTAACCTTACCCCTTGTGGTGAAAAGTAAAGTTCATTCTAGTCTCCAAGCGTCGTGTTTTTAGTTTAATTGTATCAAGCTTGTTTGGAGCGTATGATGCTCTATCAGGGGGATACAATTATTTTATATATAGTAATCCTAATTTTGGAGGTATTATGCTTCCCCATTCTCGTCAGGTTTCCCATTCATATTGTGTTCCAAACATGTATTTCTCTTTGTAAGCATTGCAATAGTATTTAGAAGTTATGAACTTGAAAGTTGTGGGTTTAATATCAATAAAAGTAGTTTTATTATTCAATAAACTCTCAAAATAATATTAGTTTTATTGTTCTACAACATTTACTATGTGATATAGGGCAAATCGTCCAAAAAGCTACATATTAAGGACCAGAGGCTGGGATGTCTACCCACAAGGCCGATGGGGTGATTCTCGAAATTCATCCTATGGAGCCCTTTCTGACCATCAGGTGAGAATGAACTCTGTGCCCTGTTTGTAATGATGTCATTTTCAAATGATTCCTTTTCCTTCTCTTCTCGCACTGGGCCTATTTTTTTAAAAGCCTATATCTCACATATATGCAGCATTGCAGCTTAACACATCTTTCAGAAGTTCTCATTACTCCTTAGAATTTAGATAACCCCAGTGAATTGCATGAGTGGTTGGACTATAAAGTTGAGGACACTCCATCTGATGAATATTTTTAAAGTTAAAATAGAGGACTATTCATTTCCTTTAAAAGAAATTAAAGCGATATGGTTGATATCCTTTGTATGCTGTACCATAGGTTAGGATAAATGTAATAATATTTAGGTTACCTGTCATTAACACCCACTTAACGAATTTTTGAATTGATTTCATAAATTGATATTTGTCGTTCTACAGTTCATGCGCCCACGTGCACGTGATAAGAAACTTCAAGAAGAATGGATTGTTCCTTTGAATAACATTGAAGATATTTGTGAGGTATATTATTGCTTTGGGGTTTGTCTTAACTGGAAATTTCAGATTAATATTTTATTTCATGTTTGTATGTGGCACTTATGCATTCTATTCATCAGATATTTTCAAAGTACTGTCTTGGAAAAGTTAGAAGTAATCCTTGGTCAGAGTTAGACGGTCTTCTGCCAGAGACCAAAATCATAGATGAACAATTGGGTGACATTAACAAAAAAGGATTCCTTACCATCAACAGCCAACCAGCCATTAATGGAGAAAAATCTGATGCAGCTTCTGTCGGTAAGAATTACATGCCCTTCCAAAAAAAGAACCACTTTTCGAATTGTTTTTTATGAAAAAAATTTCCTGCTTGCTCAAATGAATCTATTTTTTTATGTAATTTGCCAAGAAGGAATTACGTACAAGCTACTGCTATAATTAATGTTAAACCAACAAATAAATTTTAAAAAATCATGACCAATAAGAGTATCCCAGAGCTTGATTATGTGGAAAGAAATAGCCTCTTAGAAATAGCCTCTTATAATTAAAGAAATAGCCTAGTAGAAATAGGAGCATTCTTTTGTCTCTTCATTTTTTGTACTTAATTTTTCAGGTTGGGGTGGTCCTGGTGGTTATGTATATCAGAAAGCATATTTGGAGTTCTTCTGCTCAAAACAAAAGTTAGATGCTCTAGTTGAGAAAAGCAAAAACTTCCCCTCTCTCACCTACATTGCAGTGAACAAAGAAGGAACCTGGATTTCGAATGTGAAGCAGACCGATGTGAATGCTGTGACATGGGGGGTGTTTCCATCCAAGGAGATCATTCAACCAACAGTTGTTGATCCTGCCAGCTTTTTTATATGGAAGGATGAGGCTTTTGAGACATGGTCTAAATCTTGGGGTCAGCTTTACCCTGAGTCTGATCTCTCCCGAAAATTGCTTGATGAGGTATGCACTATTTTACTGATATGCTTGTTTCATCCTTGTAGTTTGTGTGGTCTCTCTCTCTTGTGATCTAGGCAGTTGCAGATATGGGTGGAGCAATCCGAGGCCCACCCCAACTCACTAAAATTTGTTTTCAACATATAATTTTCCCCTAAACCAGATTCAGACCAACAGTTCCCCCACTTTCTGATACCTTAACCAGATTCTGGGCCAGGGGTATGGTGCCGGTTTACTTGTGGACCAAATTTTTTAGTTGTGAACCAGACCGGCATATGGACAGTTACCAGTGGTAGGGGGTAGTTCTAGGGAGATTTTCTGGGTCACGGGAGGTCCAAAGATCCGGCCAGTCCCAGTCTGGTTCTGGTCTGAAACTGTGTCCACCACCCCTACCCTAATCTAAATTTCATGGACTCCTGGCTCCGGGCCTGATCACGGGTTTGAATCAAAAGGATAATGAATTCCTTTTCTTAAAACTCATGCAGATCGAGAACACATATTTCTTGGTCAGTTTGGTTGATAATGATTACATCCATGGTGATCTGTTTGGCATCTTCAAGGATATTTGAGGTGCAAGAGCTATCTATCTATCTATCTATGTAATTCCTCAAAGTTCAATTGATTTTCGTCGAGTTGGCTATTTCTTCTTTCTTGTTTATGACACTTGTGCGTGTTAGTTACTGCAATACAATGGTGTTGCAGCCTCATATTTCCAATGTACTACGAAATTCCAAAAACGATCATATTCAGATCCGGCAAATTGGCAAATTCGCCTCTTGGCTGAGATTATCTTATCTCATTTCATCTGGCTGCTGTTAAAGTTATTTTTCTCTATGGTTACTACATAATCATAAATATAGCCATCTCTTGTTTAGGCAACATGATATAGATAGAATCCACTGAAACTGAAGTGAAGTTTGCATATCCGCACCGCTTCTACAGAGGTTTAATGCGAAAATAATAATTTAATTCATCTTATCATTCAATGTAAACCTAGGATGGAATTACTCTCATCCCAATTATTTATATTCTTCTATAGCCTGCCTATTTGTAAACAGATTTTGAAACAGATAAATATGTAATATCTTAATGTCATACACTCATACTGCGTAAACAAGTCCATGTTGCAATTTTAAGTTAGTGTTTGATTGTTTTCATATTTTGGTTTTTAATTTCTAAAAAACATAAAACTTGTGACTGACGAATGACGATCTAGCTTGTTTCATACTTGCAGCAATTACTTTTTGAACAGTTGTAGAGAGACTTCTTGGATTGTTTTTTTTTTCGTAAATATGACAAAAGTATGACTTCCAAGTTTCTAAAATACAAAAACATGAGTACATGACTAGTCTTCATTTTTTCCCCAAAAAACATGTAATCTTTTATTTAATTAACTCAAATTTTCTCTCCTTGTAATTTGTATCCAATCTAAGCCCCCCACCCCACACTTGCCTAGCTAGAGGCACTTAACCGGTTCCTATTTTCCATGACCCGAGCCCGCTCTTAGTAACACCCGGTTCAGGCCTAACCGGACCGGTCCAGGGCCCAGTTGCCGGGCCGGGCCGGTTCCAAACAGTGCCGGGCCGGGCTACGGGCCGGAACCGGTCCATCCCTAATTGTATTAGGCTACACGCAGCAACCCGCCATCATCAATAAACTGAAGTATATACTCTATTAATGTGAGAACAGTGTATTCACTCAATTAATTGAAATTTATCTCCAACTTTGTCACTGTATATTCACACTAATTCTCAATTTTGCTATTAAGAACATTTAGCTAATAGATCAAAATGGTAAAGTACAATAGATAACATGATGAAGTCATGCAAAGCAATTTTACTCTGCTTGGAGCAATCAATTTAGAGAAAGTGAAACAAGTTGATAACAAGAAATCAAGATTTCTGGTTGGTAATGACTTGATCAACTTATGTTAGCCGATCCAAAAAAAAATTGAGAATAAGGTTTGGATGTTGTTATTAATGACACATGATTATGAAACTAATTCAATACGCTAAACTCTTGCAAATGATTTTTGGTATAATAAAAAAAGTCAAATGGCAACTAGTCTTCCACCCATGTGAATAAATCTAAATAACCACTCATATATACGAAAACAACTTATTTCATTAATTGATTATTACAATGATTCAAAGGAATTAACTAATAATAATAATAATGCAATAAAGTGAATGTAGGGGTCGGAGCACACAAATAAAAATGAAACAAAGAACAGAAACAGAATGAGGCCAGACCAAGTTACACTTAAACTAGCCTCTATTAGTAGTAATATTTTAAGGGGTAGGATCTAAATGAAAAAAACGAGGGCAGCTATAAACAGAACAAAATGCTTCTAAACCTGAGAGAAGCAAGAGCAAAAGTGTGGCAAGCAATGTGAAAATCTTCCAAGACCCATACACATAGGACATGATAAACCTCCCTGCCTTCACCCTCCACCTGCAATTATAGTAGTTGTTGACATCTGCAATGACCTTGTCCAAGAAGGGCACTTTGGTCAGCCTAATGGACATGCTCATCCCATTCCAAAGATCGGCCACTTCGGCGTCGCTCTTCAAATGATTGAAGAGAATGCCCTTCTCCCGAAGAGCCCGGGAATCCTCGGCAGAGTCGATGATCCCGTTCATGAACTCGAGGTAACGAGCAAAGACTAACGGCCCGCATGTGATGCACGACTCGTAAGCAACCATGTTTCTCAGCAGCACTTGTGAGTTCACGTCTATCCTCACCACGGGCAGATGCAGCGTCGCGGTTGTGGAATCAAAAGCAATGCTCGGAATACCGCAACCCCCTCCATTCGTTGGTAAGAACTCAACTCCTGACTTCATGAGCTCATACACTGTCGGAATGTTGATATCTTCCACCAATGAAGAAGCAAACAAAGTAGTAGCACTAGTAGTAGTAGTGTCATTGTCATTGCCATTGTCTAACTTTTTATTATTAACAGATGTGATGGTGGTGGTGGTGGCGGGGAAAAAACGCTTCAGATATTCCTTTACTACCGGAAGGGTAGCCATAGTGCCCCACGGCAACTTCTCAATGACCTTAACAACGCGCGTAATCCGTGCATTACGTTTAGTAATATTTGTTGAACCAGACAAAGACAGAAGCTTATCCCATACTTGTTGAACCAGATTAAGAAGATAACTTTTATCAACATCACAAGCTGCAGGGGCAGCCGCGGAGATGCTGGTGGTTTGATCCTCATCTCCTGCTGCTTGTTCTACACAACCAGTACTGCTACTAGTACAGCACAATACATTGTCTACTTGCAGGGATGCTGCTGCAGCTGGAACCATGAGCTGGTAAAAGAAATCAAGCAAATGAGCACAATCATCGAGTCTCGGAATGAACTCGGCCACGGGAAATGGGGAAAGATCTTTGTACAGCCCCATCAACATGGCAAGCAACACTTCGTCGGCCAAATCCTGAGACGAAAGCTCCCATTCAAGCATTTTCCTTAAAACGGACAACGGGATTTGGTTCTCCAGCATCACAATGTCCCTTAAAGAAGCATTGTGGCCCGACTTTCGTCCCAACACGTCTACCATATGAGACATCCTTAGGCCAACTTCCGGGCGTGGGCAGCTAGCATACACCCCGAGAAACTCAAGCAAGAAACACGCGTCCATCGCCAGCATCCACGCCAACGTAATGTCGTCAAGGTTCAAGTACTTGCCATACGATGCTCGGATCCGCACACATTGCTGCTTGATCGAGCCCACCACGTCTTCTTCGAACTTGAGGCCATCCGGGAGACGTTTCGAGAACCTCTTCGCCGCGTTCACCTTGTACCTCTCCATCTGATAAAGCTCAACCCGCCAGTAATGGTACGGCCCGATGGCTATCTGTTGGGGCACGTAGGACAGCGGGTCCGAAGCCATTAGAGCCTTCGGGACATTGAATATGCTCACTCCCATTCCTGTTTCCTCCTCTTCAACCTTGAATGACTCCTTTATGTGGATAACCCATCCCTTTTCATCTATTGGCTTTTGGAACTTCGCCATGTATTAACTCCGTTGCCAATCGAGTATATGTTTACGAAATCTGAGGAATAAGCTAAGTGCAGACCAGACTATTTAAAGAGGTGATCTAATATAAAAATTTCCTAATTAATATTTGGATAGTCCAATTGACGAATGTTAAGAGCTGCAACAGGTGTTTGGCACTATCTAGATGACCTACTCTTGTAGATGATCTCCAAAAATTTAGTACTACGTATGTAATATAAAACTTATATTTCATTGCACTATCTAGTCTATTCAACATAGTCTATTCATTTTATAAAACTTATAAAACTTACATGTTGATTTTTCTAGATGTTGTATACTATTCAACATTTCAAAAGGTATAGAACTTTTAGATTATTTAATTTGTGTACTTTAATCATCATAAAACTTATATTTCATTGCACTATCTAGTCTATTTGTATTTCTTGTTTAAATTTTGTATTTCTTCTTGTTTTAGGGAGTCTCAATTCTCCATTTGAAACCAAGGCCTCCAAATTCATTAGACGATGTCAAAGTCATTGTTGATGAACCAGCCAATAAGAGGGGAAATGATGTTGATAAACCTCCCTTGCCTTGGCATCTTATCCAATAGGCAACCAAAATTCGGTTATTATGATGATATCCACATACATGAAATTCCAAATCCAATCATGCATAGTAGCCGTTAAAGCCTTTTTCAATCATAACGTGTTGTTACAAGTCTTCATCCTACACCTAGGTGTGGACGAGCCTTAAGCTACGTACCTCAATAAACCTACTCAAACATGCATCTCAAAACGAAAATCACCTTTTCACTCCATAACTCTATTTTTTTAACATATACTAGTATTTCTTTCATGTGAAAAATAAACCCTTGATTTTTAAAAATTGATTTTTATAGTTTCAGAGTCCCATCTTTGAGTTGGGCATTTGGATTGTTATGTTGAGTTCACAAGTTTCGTGCGTAGTCGCCACTTCAAATGGCGGCTTTGTTTAACCGGGGTTCCAACCAACACTATTTTTGGAATTATTTTAACCCAAACCCATTTTCATAATTATTTAATTTATTAGCAATACAGGAAAAATCTCACAAAAGATATACAAGTTTAAAACCTTACATTTCGGTGTATAAAAAAGTTTTGTGGGAGATTTCTGATAACTTTTTGGAAGTGTACTAAATTTAAGGGAGTGTTTGCAATCACTTAAAAAAAACACTTCTTTGGCTTAAAAAAACACTTATTTACCAAACACTACCAATTTTGGCTTTTTCTCGGCTTGCGTGTGAAAAGTGCTTTTCCCTTTTCTATTACACAAAAGCACTTATTTTATCAAACACTGCCAACTTTTACTTTTCAAAATCATTTTTTTCTCAAACATTATCAACTTTTTTTACTAATCACTTTTTCCTTATATCTCCAAAAGTGCTTTTTTTTAAGCAGAAGCAATTGCAAACACTCCCTAAGTCTAGTTAAACAGAACTAGTGGTAAGCCAACTTTTTTGGTGGGATATTTCTGTTTAAATATCCACTCCATCTATTATTCTCTTTTCTTTTGACTTCTATATTATGTTTTGTTTCCACTCCATATATATATATATATATATATATATATATATATATATATATATATGAAAACTACTTATTCAAAAGAAAACTTAAATGAATTGATATGGTTTATTTCATTGATTGATTACTACAAAGATTCAAAAGAATTAACTAATATTAATGCAATGAAGTGAATGTTAGGGTCAGGTCAGACAAATAAAAAATGAAACAAAGAACAGAAAAAGAATGAGGCCAGGCCAGGTTACAATTAAACTAGGCATGGTTATTAATTTATTATGAAGGGGTAGAATTGAAATGAAAAAACCGAGGGCAGCTATAAACGGAACAAAATGCTTCTAAACCCGAGAGAACCAAGAGCAAAAGTGTGGCAAGCAATGTGAGAATCTTCCAAGACCCATACACATAGGACATGATAAACCTCCCTGCCTTCACCCTCCACCTGCAATTATAGTAGTTGTTGACATCTGCAATGACCTTGTCCAAGAAGGGCACTTTGGTCAACCTAATGGACTTGCTCATCCCGTTCCAAAGATCGGCCACTTCGTCATCGCTCTTCAAATGATTGAAGAGAATGCCCTTCTCCCGAAGAGCCCGGGAATCCTCGGCGCAGTCGATGATCCCGTTCATGAACTCGAGGTAACGAGCAAAGACTAACGGCCCGCATGTGATGCATGACTCGTAAGCAACCATGTTTCTCAGCAGCACTTGCGAGTTCACGTCTATCCTCACCACGGGCAGACACAGCGTCGCGGTTGAGAAGTCGAACGAGATGCTCGGAATTCCGCAACCCTCGCCATTCGTTGGTAAGAACTCAACTCCTGACTTCATGAGCTCATACACTGTTGGGATGTTGATATCTTCCACCAATGAAGAAGCAGACAAAGAAGTAGCATTGTCATCGTCATTGCCATCGTCGGACTTTTTAGTATTAACAGAAGTGGTGGTGGTGGCGGTGGGGAAAAAACGCTTCAGAGATCCCTTTACTCCCGGAAGGGCAGCGATTTTTTCCCACGGCATATTCGCAATGACCTTAACGACACGCACAATCGGTCCATTACTTTTAATAATATTGTAAGAAAGAAGCTTATTCCATACTTGATGAACCAGATTGAGAAATCTCTCTTTATCATCATCATCACAAGCTGCAGGGGCAGCCGTGGAGGCGCTGGTGGTTTGATCCTCATCCCCTGCTGCTTGTTCTACACAACTAGTACTACTACTAGTACAGCACACTACATTGTCTACTTGCAGGGATGATGCTGCAGCTGGAACCATGAGCTGGTAAAAGAAATCAAGCAAATGAGCACAATCTTCGAGCCTCGGAATGAGCTCGGAGACAGGAAACGGGGAAAGATCTTTGTACAGCCCCATCAACATGGCAAGCAACACCTGGTCAGCGAATTCCTGAGACGACAGCTCCCATTCCAGCATTCTCCTTAAAACGGACAATGGGATTTGGTTCTCCAGCATCACAATGTCCCTTAATGTTGCATTGTGTCCCGACTTTCGTCCCAACACGTCTACCAAATGTGACATCCTTAGCCCAACTTCGGGGCGGGGGCAGCTCGCATACACGCCGAGAAACTCAAGCAAGAAACACGCGTCCATCGACACCATCCACGCCAACGTATTGTCATCAAGGTTCAAGTACTTGTCGTACGATGCTCGGATCCGCACACATTGCTGCTTGATCGAGCCCACCACGTCTTCTTCGAACTTGAGGCCATCCGGGAGACGTTTCGAGAACCTCTTGGCCGCGTTCACCTTGTACCTCTCCATCTGATAAAGCTCAGCCCGCCAGTAATGGTACGGCCCGATGGCTATCTGTTGGGGCACGTAGGACAGCGGGTCCGAAGCCATTAGAGGCCTTGGGACATTGAATATGCTCACTCCCATTCCTGTTTCCTCCTCTTCTACCATGAATGATTCCTTTATGTGGATAACCCATCCCTTTTCATCTACTGGTTTTTGGAACTTTGCCATATATTAACTCCGCTGCCGATTGAGTATATGTTTACAAAATCTGGGAGAGAAGCTATGTACGGACCAGAGTATTTATAGAGGTGATCTATACATGGAAATTTCCTCATTAATTAATATTTGGATAGTCTAATTGAATGTTACACGGTCAAAGTCATTGTTGATGAACCAAGGAATAAGAGGGAAAATGATGTTGACCAGCCTAGCTAGCTTAAACCCCCCTTGGCTTGGCATCTTATCCAATAGGCAACCAAATTTCTGTTATATGATGACATACACACATAAAATTCCAATTCCAATCATTCATAATAGCCGTTAATTCGTTAAAGCCTTTTTCAATCAAAACGTGCTGTTACAAGTCTTCATCCTACACCTAGGTGTGGACGAGCCTTAAGCTACGTACCCCAATCCACGTCACTCAAACATGCATCTCAAATCTCAATAGGAAAATCACATATTCACTCCATAAATCTAATTTATTTACATATTTTCTTTATAAGATAAATAAACCCTTGATTTTTAAAAAATGATTTTTATAATTTCGGGGTCCCATCTTTGAGTTGCGCATTTGGATTGTTACGTTGAGTTCACAAGTTACATGCATAGTCACCACTTCAAGTGGCGGCTTAGTTTAACCAGGGTTTCAAGCAACAATACTTTTTGAATTATTTTAACTCAAACCCATTTTCGTAATTATTTGATTAATTAGCACTAAAAGAAAACAGGAAACGTGTTTACCAATGAAATTCCTGGAAAACTGGAGAAAGGAAAAAAGAAAAACGCGTTTACCAAATCGTTTTCCAAAACGGAAAAAATGAAACATGTCTATCTTTTCCTTAATGATTTGGAGAAGTGACTTTTACTAGTTTTCCAAATTTGGAAAACGCAGATGCTAAAGTGCCTTTGCATTCTTACACCTAGTGGTGGGTCCGGTCCCGCTCCGATGTCGATTCCATTCCGGTACCTCCATCCTCGTACCTTACCCCTTACCCCTACCCTACCCACCCAACCCCCACCCCGCGTACCCATTTTTCCCTATAATGACCTTACCCCACCCCCCACCACATGCCCCGACCTCGGCCCCACCCCGATCCTACCTACCACCTCGACCCCACCTCGATCCACCCTACCCTACCGCCACCCCTACCACCTCGACCCCACCCCGACCCACCCTACCCTACCCCCACCCCTCGTATATTACCACTTACCCCTACCTTACCCCTTACCACATGCCTCCTACCTCGGCCCCACCCCACCGCCATCCAACCCCCACCCTCGTACCACCATCCTACCCCCACCCTACCTCGGCCCCACCCGGATCCCGGGCCCACCTTACCGCCATCCTATCCCAACTCCCTACCCTACCCCTACCTTACCCCAACTCCAAACCCTACCCACTACCCCCACCCTTACCGTCATCCTACCCCCCACCCCTTCCCTACCCCGGCCCCACCCTGGTCCCGACCCCACCCTACCGCCATCTTATCCCAACTCCCTACCCCTACCTTATCCCAACCCCAAACCCTACCCACTACCCCCACCCTTACCGCCATCCTATCCCCCACCCTACCCCAGCCCCACCCTGGTCCCGACCCCACCCTACCGCCATCCTATCCCAACTCCCTACCCTACCCCTACCTTACCCCAACCCTACCCACTACCCCACCCTTAACCCTAACCACGACCCTAACCCACCCACTACCCCCCACCCAACCCCAACCCCTAGACCTTACCACCCCACCCCCACCCATAACTTCCCTACTTTGACCCTTACGAGTAGGTATGGGTGGGTATGAAGGGTTGTGGTGGAGTATGGGTAGAGTGTAAGATCGTGGTAAGGGTAGAGGTATGGGTCAAGGGTGTTGAATTGGAGAACTGTGTGAAAAAATTGATGAACATGTTTTCAAATTTGAAAATGGAAAACTAAAAAATAGAAACAGAAAATTGGAGATTGAAAAACTGAAAAATAAAAACAGAAAATTGGAGAACGAAAAACAGAAGTAGAAAACAGGAAAATATCTCTGTTAGTAAACAGGCCCTTAACATTTCGGTGTATAAAAAAGTTTGGTGGGAGATTTCTGTTTTACGTTTTAATTTAACCTTTTTAATTAAAATAACTTTTAATTAAAAAGTGAATATGACTTAGTTTGAAGCCTTGCAAAGGAAGTGAATATGGAATGTCATCTCCCACCTTTTGGGATGAACATACTCACTGTGTCGCCTTTAAATTTGGATTTTCCATCTATGACTTAGCAGTTCATTCGATCTTTCAAACAAGAATTTCTCAAAATATCTTTCAAGTATAATCAAGTAAACAATAAGGAAAAGTAAGAGTAATACTGTAATAGTAATGTTAACTTGCCAAGCAATTTCCGTTTGTGGAAATGAGTATGTTTATTTTGAAACATCTAACAAAGGAGGCACTACTTGGAGGCAGTACTTGGAACTTGGAAGTTGGAACTATATTGTAAGAACTAAACTAGAAAATTAATTAGAAAAATCACTTCACTTGATGCAACTAGGGTGGAATAGTCCGATTCCAGACCAGTTTTGATCGCCGAACCAACCGGTCCTTGGAAATTATTTATAGAAATCAGGACCCAGACTTAATAATTATGATTCCGGGCTGATTCCAGATTATGATGTTTCTTTTAAACCCTACATCCCCTTTGCCCGCCCTTTTTGGTTGCTTCCCGACAGATATAATAACAAAATCAAATGGGACTAACCGATTCCGGGCCCCAGTTTGGGTCACCCGGGACTGGGACCCTAAACCTGCCCCCAATTATGGTTCTGAGTTCTGACCTAGAACCGGCCAATTTTGGTTAAAAATAGGCCGGTTCTGATCCACAGCCGAACCATGTCCATCCCTAAACGCAACCCATTGTCAAGCAATTATTTTGAACCAAACTGACATGTAGGACAGTATGAGCAAGAAGGTATCGGTAATTTACTATCTTAAGCTCAACAAAACACACGATAAATCCCAAATTTGATTCGATTAGGAATGAAGGTTTTATATTTATAACAACAGGACCGTTGAGTTGAGCAAAAGTAAATAAGAGTACTTATAGCTGTTCTCTTGATTAGCATCAAATCTCGAGCATAAAAGAACTCTGAAACATGCAAAAAAAAGTATACATCTCAAAATCAATAGTCATCACCCCTGGATACTACCTCTTTGCAAGTTGGACGAAGTAAAATGGTATGCTCAAATTGAGATACATAGCTTCCCTTAACATCACACAGAGGAGGATATGGCTACAAAGAAAACAAACAAACAAAATCAATTTTTATTGTTTACTCAAATAAATCACTCTCAATGAGGAGCAAAAGGCAATGATCAGTAACTTCTGCAAGACTAATGAGACATTTTCGCCAACCAATTGTAAAATATATCCATCACAACAATAAGTCTCATTTGTCAAGGTACAACCTTTTAAAGTTTGGCAACATAGAGCTATTTAATGTTAAATACATAGTACCATAAAAAAATAATTGTTTGTCAAGGTACAAATTTCAGATTTTGGGGAGGAAATCTTTAAAGACACAAATTGTACTTGCATGCAAAACACGATTGGTTTAATTGAATTATCGTATTGAACTTGTTAGTAACATCATTTTTTCGGACAACAACAAAAATTGAAAGAATGGAGTCATAATGGGAGGGATGGAGTAATAATTATTTCTTTGTTACATCACCTTCATAGCAACTACAATCACTGTTAAAAATATATATATACCTGGACAATACCAGCATCACACAAATTCTTGAGTGCCATGAGATACTTTGTTTCACCAAGGCGGTCAAGATAGCGTCTACAGAAAGCCAGGGTGGAGAAGTTCTTATTTATGGTTGCCAGTAATTGCTTTGCTCTTGGCAGCCGCAACGGGACGTGGCCAATATCAAAATTCTTCATATAATGACTGCACTCTAGATCTTCTCTCACATATCCCTTCCCTGTGCATGAAGATCATATAGTGGTAATCCAGCTTATTTTCATTCATTTAATCGGCTATCCATCATATGTCAATTGCTACCCAGTACCCACCAAAGAAACTAGGAAGACTTTGACTTTGCACCCATGTTTTGAGTGATATTTGACTTTGTACCCTTTTTTAAAAATTATTAATGTATGCACCCCATGAGCCCAAAAATTGTGAAGGAGTGGGGTGCAAAGTCAAATGAATTTACAGTGAATTAGGATACATTAATGATTTTGAAAATAGGGTGCAAAGTCAAATATCACCCATAACATGGGGTGCAAAGTCAAACTCTCCCAAGAAACTGAATGATGATACCTGTAGACGCAAATGTTTCAATTGCATAAAATTCACCCTCTTCCATCTTAGTTTGTTCTCCTCCTTTAACAATCGGGACAGATTTACCAGCATGGATTTGATATTGCCCAATGCTGTGCCCATTCAAATTCCGGACACTTTTAACTGCATAAAATAAGATTTAAAAAGAAAAAGTATGACTACATAATCTTGCATTACAATTACATCAATGAATCCTTTCACCGATACAAGAGTAATTATCATGGAAAGTCTTGTGCATCTTACATTAAGTATCGACTAGATTTGAGTATAGGTATTTGAGATCCACCTTTTGGAATGATCAAGACACAATTTAATATCCAACGAGAGCTTGTTCCAATTGCGATTCTCATATTGGGTCAGTTTGGAACTATCTGTCCACCCATTGAGTTGTCCAGCTCTGATTGGGTTGAGGGGTGAGTATCTTACACAAGTCGTCCACTAGGTTTGAGTTTAGTATTTAAGTGTTGTGAGGTATTATTCTTGAGAAACCTTTTGAGTGAGTAAGACCCTATTTCATTTGATATGGAAAAGAACTTCTCCTCCCCTTGGTGGTTCCCATTTAGGATCAGTTCTACCCATTTATGGGTTGGGGGTGTTGACTATCGTAGATTGAAGTGTAATAAGTTTAAGTCTAGTACTAGTATATAAGTGACATGAAGTATCAATTAAACGAAAACAAAGTAATGATATGATCATAACTTACAAGGTTCTTCCATTAAATAAAATTCAAATAAGCAACCACAACTTTGAACTCAAAAGCATCACTTGTAGTCAAAGATATGGTG